CAGTTCCTGGTGCAGCCACGTTTTGCCCAAGCCTTCATCGAGCCAGCTCTTGTTAAATTGTATTCAGAGGCTTAAACAGCCCTCAACTGAATTACTCACTACAAAATATGAAATTTGGCTGAGCTTGAGTAAAAAAATGGCAGAAACCCATGTTATTTTAATCACAAGTGAGTTGGTGCCTTTGAATTTGTTCTAATCAAACACCAGGTCAGATGAATTACGCAAAGGGTATTGCCTTTGTACCAGGTCTTAAAGTAATGAATAGTTTGATAAGTTTTAAATTGTTTTAAATAAGCTATTTATTGCTTGGGAAAACAGCTTTTTGTGCTTTTTTAATTATACAATGAAAACTAAGTTAAAAGTTAATTTTTCTACTTCTTATCTATATTTTAAGAAGCTTTGAAAGGATTAATTAAGCATTCAAACTACCTGCTGAGGTAGGCAATTGTTACTCTCTCCACTTTCCTGATGACTAATCTGAGGCACAATGCCACCTAAAGCCTGAATCCACCATGTCTCCATCTCACAAAAAGACAAGGAAAATCAGCACCTGCCAGGGAGCAATTAATAGATTAAGAAAATCATAGAATCACTTAGGTTGGAAAAGACCTTTAAGATCATCAAGTCCAACCATTAGCCCAGGAATCAGGTGAGAGTGGCTTTCCCAAGGTCAAACTATAATGCTATGGACAGATAGTTGCAAGCATCTGAGTTAATGAGTTACCAATGGTGAGGTGAACTGTGAAAACTCACAGGATATGTGCTCCTAGGCTCAAGTGGTGTGGATGACAGTACAAACTGCCATGAAACTTTGTGGTTTTGGGGCCTTAGGGTAGCCTTGCCATGGCTCAGCTGATTTCCTAGGCCATCACAGAATCTTGTGTCCTTATGTTAAAGTCTTCCCCCCTGTGGTGTCATCTATAGAGGTTCAGATATCTGCTCTGTGGGTCCAGGCATGAGAAAGGAGCTAAAAGATTCAGCAGTATCCATGGACTTTGATGATTTCCACGCCTGAAATCTGAAACATTTTCTTACACTCACAGAAGACCCTCACTTAAAAAATATCTTCGTCAAATGCAGTCTTCCTCTTGGTTTAGTAGTTTGTACTAAAAATGTCAGAATTTTCCGTTTGTTTGTATTTAATGATAAACCCCTACAAGAACCATCACTTCTCTGTGGACTGAGGACAGCCCTTCATCTTGCACTCTTTCTGCTGCTCAGCTGTATCACATTCGTCATCAACAGTTTCCCCTGGGAATTGTTATATTAAAAATACAATGACAGAAGTGTTTTGTACAGGACTGTTCAGGAAAATGATGCATGCTGTGCAGATGTGCACATTGAAACCTCTATATCTCGAGGAAATACACTGCTGTGTTTTGATAGGTTTCTCTCTAAAGCTGTAATTAACCACAGTCAGCAGCATGCTTGGAAGGGTTAAAGGAAAAGAAGTTAGAGGAAATATTCAAAGCCATGGGTAGGTGCTGCACATTCGGTGATGGAGTTGCATGCTTGCTTGCAAAAAATGCAATGGGAAGTGTGTCAGTCGCCTCTGTTTGCAGATGCATATAAGTCTGTGTAAGTGAGATGCTGGTTGCCACCTAATTAGAGCATGAGACTGTGTCCCAGTGCCCCACTTTTTGTTTGTGACCCTGCAGTGGTCTGGCATGTGACAAAGGATTTCTCCAGGTCAGTGTTGGCAACGAAGCAGGGTAACAACACACCTGTGTGAATCAGCTGATGCTGCAGTGTTAAAAGTGATTTTGAGGTGCCAGGTACAAAGCTTGGTGTTAGCCACAATGTTATTTTCCTCGCTATTAAATTTGGGTATCTGCTAAGTCTATTTTGAGATCTCAGAGCTTATTTGCAAAGTGTGTTCCATGAACACCTGATAATTGTGTGAGGCTCAAATGTTTCCCTTTTCTGCTTCTGCTAAAATTTCTCAGGTTCCTACATAAGTCTGTGGAATAAATTTCAGTAAGATGTATGACCTACCAGAAACCTAGGTACTTTGCTAAGATGCATTTCAACTCTGCCTTTAGTACTGAAAGCACTAATAATGGCAGGCATCGATAACCACATTTTTAAAGAGTCATGTATAATGTATGAAGGTCTAAATGCATTATATAGCTATATTTGAAAAGTGAACTGCATATATTCATATTTATTTTCATTTATGAAGATTTCTCCCTGGGAGGAGGAGAGAGAAAAAAAGAAAGATCAGCATGTGACAGATGCACATCAGGGAAGTGGGTTGTCGCACTGCAGGGAGGTGTTGAGATATTGCAATGATGGGTATGCTCTACAAACCTGAGCAGAACAAAATACACTGTCTGGAAAATTGAGCAGACGTAGAAATTGTTAACTGTCTTAATGAGAAATGGTGCTGAGGTGAACTGCAGTTTTTTAGATAATAGGCAATCTGGAGAAGTCTCTGTAAAACAGGTGTTACAGTTTCAAGTTGAACTTTTTACATTTGTCCCTAAAGGCAGATCTGTTGAGTTTTTTTCTTTGTGAGAGTATAGGCTTGAGGGAAATCACCTGGACCACAGCAGTATCCTTTGCTTTTAGAAATGGAACTGCAGTCTGCTGCCTGTGCTGCTCTGAACTGACCTTTGAGTCTGCTCTTGCAATCCAAGTCTCCTCTTTCTGAGGAGACTTCTGAGCCTAAGCTTTAAGTCACAAGCTTTGCAGCAGTCTCCCCAGAGAGCTTTGAGGCAGTTCATCAAAGCAGGTGGAAGGAAGAATATGTTGTAATAGATCTTTCATTCTTGCATATGAGTAACGAGCAGGAACAAAACATGCTGTCTGTGGACATAATTTTTTCTTTAGAAACTAATCATACCAGGATTATAAATATAAGCAATGTATTACAGGTGCTACATTCAGCATTAAATATTCTTCTGTGGTGCCAAAGTGTGTGTATTGGTATGATTTTGTTATGGATGGAGAGAAATACTGTCTTTTATGATTGTGACAGCTCAAATACTGTGTTTAACAAATTACTCCCAGGACATCTCAAACGTTTCTATTGTCTGAGAAGCTCAATGCAAATGAGTAGTTAAAGCTAATAAGCTTTTCTGAGTACTTCATGACTGCAGTTTAACCGATGTCTTGGAATTTATGCTTGTTTTGCCTGTTCAGTGTTAGCATTGCTAGTATTCACTAGTCAAGCACATATTTCCTGAAGTGGCCCCTTTACCTTCTCAGTACCTGAGCTCCACTCCCTCTTGAAGCTTCACTTTCCTGGTAGCTCTTCCATGTCCTGAAGGTTGTGTACTTCTACCTGGGTTAAATTATTCCTGGCTTGGCCTGTGCCAGCAGGATTCAAGAACTTCCAGACACCATTCGGAAATGAGGATGAAGTTGAAGCTAGCAGCTCTGCTGCCCAGGGGATTGAGTTGCTGTCATATTGCATCTGACTTGCATCAGATCAGAGTTTAGGATTTGGGTGATTTGTTCTTCAGATTAATGTCAATCTGTTTTAAATTAAAACACCCTGGGGCAAATCCTTTGCTATGATCAATGAACTGTCTGGCTGCATTCAACCAACATTACAACAGACATGAATTTGGCCTTCTGGTTCGTTGCCACATCCCCTACAACATCACTTTCCTTATGTGGTTCAAACATCAAGCTTTTGATCCTACAAGTTGTTGACTGTCTTCCACTGAAATCAGTGATAATGGAGGGTGCTTCACTGTTCAACACCTTGTTGGTTTGATCACAAGAAATGGACCACATATCTACTCTACCTAAAATATAGTTGTGGTGAATCTACGAGCAGGAAATCTGCTTTACACCTGTTTTATCACAGGAACAAAAAGCACACGAAGTATTTGGAAAATGAGGAAAACACCTGTGTGTGAGTGGATAACAAAGCGTCTTTATATATAATCGTTTGCTATAAGTCATTTCAGAGTTGACAAGCTGTTTTTCAACTTCATGTCACCACTGCCTGATGCATCTAATTAATCCCGTTCTCCAGCTGACAAATATCAGCTGCTCTTTCTAAAACATGGTTTCTCCCTTAAGTACTTCCCTCTGGCAAAGTTAAATATTAATTATCCTTTTTTAATTTTATGATTATTCATGGGTGCTAATGTCACTGCACAATGAATGGGGAAGTCAATACCACAAAATATTAGAAGAGTTGTTTCTGAACCTCTGCAGCAGCCGATATGGAGCCATGCTAGAAATGAATGTAGTAGTTGTGGCTGGGCTGTGCCAACAGTCACACAATCACTGGTGAGACTCAAAGCCCTGCAGTTTGGTGGATGGAGGCACTGGGCCTGGATTTGAAAAATGTTCCTTCTCTTCTTAGCTCAGGCACTGGCCTGTTCATAACTGCAGAAATCATATCACCTTTTAATCTGTATATTGAAATTTCAAGGCATGGAACAGCATGGGTCCTGAGGTGCCCAGGTACTCAGGTCTGAGTTGCATGGATGTCCTGGGTTCAGCAGTAGCAGTCATTTTTAGACAGAGCACCTGACCCAAACTAGCCAAAGAGGTGTTCCATACCACAGCACGTCATGTCCAATATATAACTGGTGGCAGTTACCCAGAAGGGCTAGATTGCTACTTGCGCTGGGCTGGGTATCAGGTTGGTGGGTGGTGAGTGGTTGTAATCTCTTCCCTTGTTATTTCACTTATCATTACTATTATTGGTGGCAGCAGTAGTGATTTGTGTTATACCTTAGTTACTGGACTGCTCTTATCTCAACCTGTGGGAGTTACATTCTTTTGATTCTCCTCCCCATCCCTCTGGGAGTGGGGGGAGGAAGGGGGGGGAGTGAGTGAGCGGCTGTGTGGTTCTGGGTTGCTGGCTGGGTGTAAACCACAACAGTGGACTTGTACTTTTCCTCAGGATTCAGGTGGTGCTAGTCTGCTGGAGCTCTTTGGGGTCCTGCTGTCCTTCTTTCCAACCTTTGTGCCAATGGTTGTGGGAGCTGGCGCTGGCCACTACCCTTAACTTTCTGCCATACTTTGCCCTACAGCTTCAGTAATTCCCTCTCCCCTAGCCTGCTGCCATCCCTCAGACAGAAGAGGACAGTCCTTCACTGAGTAGATGTGCGTCTTCCTCATTGCCACATCAGTAAGTAGCTGTTTCACATGAATCCCATTTCTGCTTGTCTGCTTTCTCTCCAGGTGACCACAGGCAATGTCTGTAAACCTTCCTTTCAAACCCAGCCATCTTTGTATGCTGGTTCTCAGGAAGATCCATATACATGCCTTGTGAAACAGGCTCAAAACCAGACACTGGGCAGGGAAGATATGTTGTAATCGCGTTTCCTGAGACCAGTTATACCAGCTGTAGCCATCCTATGACATCCTTCGCTGTTCCCACAAAAAAGAAGTTGCCCATCTTGTCCACTTTGCTGCCACACTGACATGAAGACTTAAGCAGTCATTTTCTTTCCAGAGGGATTTGCAGCTGCACTCATTTGCTGGCCCCATGCAGGGGCTGATGGAGCTGTGCAAGCCCTTATCCCTTGTGCCTTTCACAGTACTGTGGGCAACTTTGAAGCTGTTCCCTTCCTCAGGTGGCACTTCAGGGTATGCAGGCTCACTTTTATCTCAGTCTTTTGCTCACTGCAGCTTGATCCATCTGTCTCTCCATGTGGATCTGAAAGATGCTGACATACAGGAGGATCTCCTGTAGCTGTTCCCTGTCTTATTGCAGTTTCTCACCTTGCCATTGACATGACTTTCTGACCTAGCTTCATTGTGAATATTTTCTAGCATGACTAGCATTTTCTTACCCACATCACACAGCCCAGCATGTCTGCAACTCAGTGTGCTAGACTTCGTCTTGCCTCCCTTTCTGTAGCCAGTGATTTCAGTTGATTCACTGAGACAGACCATAGGACTGAAATAGTCACTGAAATTTGTTAGAGCTTAGGCTAATATTTTTGCAATATGTAGATGAAAATTGAACTTGGTCCCGGAGCAGTATATTTTAGAAGCCTGGAGTGTTTATGGATATATCCATTATAAAGATAAAAATTAATAACATCTGTTTGCATTGAAAGTGCCCTGCTTAGGAAATGAAGTGCAAATAACTATGCCTGGGTACCTGCCACATGTTTAGGTTGTGGTTTTTTTACATGAAAATTTGCATGTCTCTCTTATGTTTTTAAGTGTCTGAAGAAGTGACACCTGATGGAGGTTTTGAAGAATGCTTGGGCTTTTTTTGCTGGATACCTGCTAAAGATACAACTCCTGACCAAAAGAAACTGAGATGGGTAGAATCAACGTGAATATGAAAGCTCATGGCAGTCGTGGTAGATATCCAATCATTATAATTATTTGCAAGCAATTTAGCCTATCTCTAATTACAATATGAGGTCATCTTGATGCAAAATAACGTCTAATTAGACGCAATCCCTTTTCAGGTACTCGTAATAGATTCCAGAGAAAAACCTTTTGGCTCCTGTTGTTGGAAGCTTTTAATTCTTAATTTACTTTTTTCTCTTTTTTTTTTTTTTTTTTGTAATTAATTTTTTGAGCAAATAGGGCAAATCAATCTATTTGAATTAATTAGCATTTCTTCCTTGGTTTTCCACTCTCCCTAACCTGATGCTTCTTTTTTTTTCTTCCCTTTATTTGAATATTACTCTAATTTATTCATGTTTCTTTGAAACCAGTGAATAATGATTTCAAGCCATAGGCAAGCCAAAGTCTGCAGCACATGGAAGATCTGCAGAAAGGTTGTGTTGGTCACCTTCATTTAGTTACAAATACTTTCTGGCATCAGGATTGGTAAGGGCAGCATCAGAGTTAAGCAGGACTGTGGGGCTAAGGTGCGACAGAGTAGAAGATCAGTAGGGGGAATGACCACAACCACAGAAAATAAAGATGATAAGCACCCAAGAAGGAAAACTGACTGGTCTGCATTTACTAAAAAATACTATAAGCTAAATATTGTTTCACCTTGGTAATTTATAAGAAAGTCCCTATGAGATCAGATTTGCAAAAAACACCTGGTCAGTGTTCACAGAAACGTATCTCATCTTTATTAGTGTTTGTACAGCCATTTGCTTTTTGCAGTGTTTATTCATATCTATTCTTTCACCTTACGCAGATGTACCATATGCTCTGTGGCAGACAGATTTCTGCTCTAGGGTGCATTGACTTTTCTCCCGTTGGAGTTGTGAATCTCCCCAGCTGTGAGAGGCAACACTGTCCAGTGGTTTGAGCTGTAGGGTGGGAGTCAGGAACTCCTTGTATTTTCTTGTCCTGGTTCCTTTCCTAGCTTGTTCTGTGTTTCTTGTGTCTGTCAAGCAGTGGAAACTTTAGTTAGGATAGCGGTTGTCACAGTGTCAGAAAAGTGACAAGAAAGCTGTTTTTCACATGGTCTGTGAGGTGAGACATTGTTTTTTTTGGAATGGGAGTGCTCAAAAAATAACCTTAAATTAGCAGGTATTGTTTTCCTCATCTGTAAAAGATGCATAACACCACTTATCCCTTGGATTTTGCAAAGATTAATACATGTTTGTAATGAACCTTGAAAATAGAAATTGCTAAGTAGCATTAACTCAGAAATTGTTTTTCTGTTAAACAGGATCTTTATCTTTCCTATAACTTGCCTTTGCTAATCTCAGCTTGTACTTAATGTATTTGAAGTTAAATCAAATTGGAGAAGCTTAGATTCAGGGACAGAATGACCATGGAAGTGGAGGAGGGTTTTGTAAGATAGTAGATTGCTGCTTGGAGATGCAATCTATAATCTCAGTTTGAGGGCCAGATCAAGGTGAAATAGTGTTCTGGCCTAATAGATGCATTCATCTAATTTTCTGGTCAATTAAAAATCAATCCAGACAATGCATGAAGACTGGGGAGATTAGATGGAATCTACAGCAATATCTCAGGGGAGAAAAGAATACAAAGAAACTGAGTCTTCTCTGTTGGAGCAGTTGAGGCAGTCCTAGGAAGAGGCAGTGCCCATTCTGTGAGCTTCCCTGTGCTGCATCAGTTGTGGTATTCAAGATTACTTCTACACCAGTAAATAAAATATACCAGTGAACTTTTTGTTGGCCCCATGGCCAGCTGGAGTGTCATAGCTTTTGACCATAAATTCTCTTTCTCTCCCACCCCAACAAGGGGGCCCATCCAAACTGTCTATTGAGAATTGTCCCTCGCTATAGGTGAAGTGTCCAGGTATTGTTTCGAGAGAGCTGTTTGCCATGGGACAAGTCTGTGCCAAAGACTGCACTGACGGTTGAGCAGCAGGGTGATGCTATGCCAGTACTTGGGCCCATGCCCTGGCCCTCTTTGGTTGCCTAGTGCAGATAGCCCATATGTCTCTTACTCTCGGCTGCATCCTCCTGTTCCTTCAGCCCTTTCTTGAATTCTTGGCTTGAATTTGTGTTTTATTTGTTTGTCTCAGAATAGCATTGCCAGGATCTGAACTGCCTTCTGGAGTGGGTTAGATAGCCCAGCCCATCACTGGCTGCTTAATGAGCAGAAGGAGACGTGCAGTCCTTTGGCATGGTGGGATGTGCAGGGCTGTATGCTTGGCTGGACAGTGCGTGAAGAGTAAAAGGGTCAGTGCCCTGCCTCAACACACTAGTGCATGGACAAACCATGATGCAGATGCATTCACAGGGCAATTCTCTGAGCTGTCATTTCCCAGTCATAGCCAACCTCTTAGGCTGTAATAACGTTGAAACAAGGAATGCCTTCTGTATGCAGAAGGCAATACAAATTTGGTAATCCTGTAGCTTTGAAAATTGGGATGGAAAGTGATTACGAAACCTAAATAACTTATTCTAGAAGAACTAATTTCTTCTAATTCACAAAGCTAGAGAGTATCATGTAGATCATTTGTAGGTTTCTGTGTGTAGTTACACAAATACATGTGTATTTATTTGACAAAACACTGGGAAAACAAGATGATGATCTGAAATTAGAGGCTGACTCAGATGACTGAAATTTAATTTATCAGCAAGTGAAATTAGTAGCAATGAATAGAAAACATAAAATGACTTTATAGGATTTTCTGCACAGATCTTGTTTTACAGGAGAAAGAATGTACAGCATATAAAACCTCAAAATATTACAATAAATGTAAAATTATAGTCACTTTTAGCATATGGGAGAAAGAAATGGGGAAAAAAAAAAACAACCCAAAAGCTCCAAACCCTATTGCTTTGTAGAAAAGTGCAGATTGTGTCATTCATGTTAAAGCTTTCTAAGTTCCTATGAAGCATGGGAGTGTACAACCTTCTTGTCCTCTTAGCAAAAAGAGCTTTTCAGTTCTGCAGATTATTAGGTCACGTGTAAATTAGGCACACATTTAACTAATCTACTGAACTGGGCTGCCTTTTACCACAGAAGTCAAAGGCAAACCAATCTGCAAATTGCAAGACCTGTTGTGAGACAGCTTTAGTTTTTTCATTAAGAGAAGGGTGTTCTCTTTGACAAAGGAAAAAGGAACTGTTCAGTCTTGCAAAGACCTCAGGAAGGCTTTCCTCAGAAAGGAGAAATCACATGATGAGGCCAAAATATTTAAAAGGATTTGATAAATTCTCTTTCAAGCTTTGGGGGACTTATGAATAATTGTGGCAGTCACAGACTCTTTCTTTTCTGCTTATGACAATATAAATTATACTGTGATCCATACTGATAATAGCAACTGAGAGACAGATGATCAGAAGTCTAGCATAAATCTAGCTATTTTTAAATTGCTTGTGATCTTTAATTGAGATAGAATAAATTGAAGGGGACAACTAAAAGCCTGAGAAATTTCTTAAATGCAAACTGAGCTGGAATGAGTATGATATCTCCTACTGGGATAACTAAATGCAAAAGCCCATCTAGAAGCTAGGAGCAAGGGTTGGGCTATGGAAAAACAGAAACGAGCATTCCTTGGCCAGGAAAGCAGATGTAATCATGAAATGGTTGTAGACTCAAAAAGCATTATTTCTCTGCAAGTATATGCCCTCTGATTCACCTGAAAGATTCTTATCTGTTTTCCCTCCTAAAGTGTGCATATATATCCAGATTACTCATACAAATTATTTTGCTTCCTTCCATGCTTCAAAACCTATGTTCCTATGTTTTGTTGTTGTTGAGGAGGCTTTTGACTTGTGGTTGCAAGTTGCTGCAACGCTTGTCCCAAAGTAGACCTGCTGGCTGTATCTGGAGTTCAGGCATAGAGATGGGTGTGATCACTGTATTGGAAACACAGACCCAAGCTGAGGGTAGTCAATAGCAGACCTCTGTGATGGGGTTTTAGTTTATCTTATTGGGGCTCCTATGTGACACCCTTGCAGCACGGGCTGAAGGCTTTTGGTTGCATTGTGTGTGGGAGGAAGAAGGGGAAGGTGGCATGAATTTGTGAACTATGCAGTGCCCTAGGTCCAAGGCTTAACAACCCTTCTCCCCATCTGGCCACAGGTCTAGCATGGCAAGTATCTCCAGTTCCTTCATAACTGAAATTTTCATGGCCTGGTTTGTGCTCTGCTTTGGGCATGGGAAAAGCCAGCTTGAAACCCAGACTGTGCTCCTAGAAAGGTGAACTTTCGAATCTATCCCACAGTGCTGGCTCTATAAACCCTCTGAAGCCAAAGGTTGGAAAGTAAGGAAGGCACCAGGAATCTGGCTGGCTTTAACTCTCCTTGAAGCTGCTTTTTGAGTGCTGCTTTATCAGATTCTCTAAGATGTTAAAGCTGGTAGTTCAGCAGGTACACAGGAAATCTCTAATGATTACAGTATCAAAGTTAAGGCAGAATGAAATTCTGAGGAGCTCTTTGAGCCTGATACTGTGGGTAGCTAGCTAGCCACGGGCCTTCTAGAGACCCACCCTGCTTCCCTGGCTGGACGAACAAGTAAGTAAAGAATGGTGCTGGAGAGGGAAAAGGCATATAGGTCCCTTTCATCCTGGTATGTCTTTTTTGACTTTTGGACATGCCTTAAGAGAACAGGGTCTCTTTCTCTTCAAGAACATGTACACCGCTGATGGACCTTGCTTAGGATGAGCAAAGACAGGGATGGTTTCTTCTGTCGAAAGGCTGAGAGCAGTCTGTTGTTGTAAGAACAACTTTATTAAATAAAGTGATGGACAAATAGGCTTTTGATACAAATGGCTTAGACCCTCATCCTGCTGTAGCTGCTTCTCTGTGACAGTATTGCGTGTGATACAGTCTGAGCTTCACATGGTTGCCAACCCTTTCCCTTCTATTTTTCATGTTTTTAAAGCAATTTCAAGTGCGCATGTGAAGATTCCAAAAATATTAATACA